GAGAGAGAGAGAGAGAAGATTCGAGAAAAAAGATACCTGGCTTTTTTTTTTCTCGATCGAGAGACAGATCGTAAAATTTGTACGCATTTTAGTTCAACGATCCCTCCAAAGTGGGATCGAAATTCTTTCGAGAATATACTCTCCCTCGTTTGAGACAGACTGCAAAAATTATTCGTTCACAATAATTACACGGCATGCACAGAAATAAGCAGGGAGTGGAAGATACTCCGTGGACACACGCTCATGCAGGGGGGACGTGATGAAAGATGGATTGATCCTACCTTAGAACGTAATTCACACAGACGACGGACAACGGTTTTTGCTGCTTGGAACAGTGAATTAGGGTGGCTTGCGTCACGACCCAAGCGTATCCTCCGCGTTTCCCGAGAAATCTGTAGGCGACCGTCTCGCATTGACCCTTGCTGAACACTGAAACAACGCGAAACAGATTTTAATCACCGACTCTTTGAATCGCTCCACGCGATTTCGAGGGGGGGTTTTATATATATTTCGTCGTTCATCGAAACTGCGCACGCAACAACGTATCCTGGATGACGAAAGATTCGCCAAGGAATTGCCAATCTCTCGCACGTAATCGGGTGAAATTTTAAAACGGTGTCACGATGACTCGTTTCGCGTCGTCATTATCGATATCCTCTGAATCGCTAGGCGAAATTTTCTTTCGTCAAAGTGGAATGAAACTAAGATTGTTCGACGAGTGAAATTCTTACATCGTTCGGTGAGCCAGTTTATCGAGGATGATGCGCGTGGAACTAGAAGGTTCTTCTAGAACCTTTTCTTATCGCGATTCGCAGGAGGAGTGGAACGCGTGTGATCCCTTCTCGTAAATCGAGAGATGGAAAGAAAGATTAGGTCCGATCACGAAATGCCGACCGCGTATCTGTGGCGGTAGAAAAACTTGGTAGAAAAACATGGATTGTATAAGAAAATTTGTAATGAAAAGTAACTACGGTATTTAATTGAGAGAGAGAGAGAGAAAAAGAAGAAGAAGAAGAAGAAGAAAGAAAGAAAAATAAGGGAAACAATAAAAAAATATTTTTTAATAAATTGTTGCTCTTGAAATCGTTGTTCACCCGACATAAAGATCATAGAATTCCGATCTACGAATTCCTCTCGTCGAAAACGCCTACAACTCGTCTTTCTTTTTCTTCTCGTCGCAGCTGTGTCGTCGATCGATACACGTCATCTCGCGTAGATTAGATGAATAACATCGAGATGAGAAGGGGGCCGCGTCGAAAATCAGGTCACAAATGCAAAATTTTACAATCCAAATGAGCTTAGGAGAAATTTTTTCCTTATTAATTTTTAAATCGTTAAAAAGAAAAAATGTTTTTGAACGAACGGTTACGAAATTAACAGAAGCGAAAACATTTATACACAACCGCAAGCGAAACATAGAAGTGGCTCGCTTCTAAAATAGAGAACGAGCCGTGAACGATCGCGTTTATTCAAATGGCCGTCAATTGGCTTTTACTCACGTGATTTAAAAGATTTATCCAGAGCCAAATTGTCGAGGGCGTGATAGAACTCGAAAACGGATTGTCCCACTAACTCCTCGCTGCTCCAACCCAGATATTCAGCCAACCTAACGGAAAAACATTTTTTTTTTTTCTTTTTCTTTTTACGCTCGAACATTATCTCATTTCACCTATTCACGACCTGTAAATGTACTCACTTTTCGTCGGCGTACGTGAATTTCATGCTGAGGCTATGCTTCGAGAGGAAAGTGTGACGTCCCAGCGGTATCTCGATGTTGCTAGGATGCGGTATGGGACATCCGAGAAGCACCAACGAGGCTCCAGTGTTGTCTCCTTCGTTTCCCTCGTCGTCCTTTTTATTCTTCGCGTCGTCGTTCTCCGACGAATTCGACACCGGGTCGCGGATATACGTTAATCTACCGGTGCAATGAATCACCTGTCGTGGGACAAAAGAAAAAGTTGCATAACGATTAACATTGCGAACGGAACGATCGTTTCGTTTTATTTGTTCACGACGTGGCTCCTACGAATGAAACCCGCGTCGAAAAAGTTTTCTACCTTGTAGGAAGCGCTTTTTAGATTGACCTTCCTTCCTTTGCTGGTCAATGTACACTTGAGCCGTAAGAAAAAACTGCAAGCACGTTTCTCGCTGTTCTCGGGCGGTTTCGAGGACAGGCATTCCCGCAATTCCTCGTGGTCGCACGGATGGCTGTATTCGTACACGCTTTGACCCATCATATCCATCTGGAATGGAAGAATGAGAACAGAATGATCGAATAAAGGAATCGTGTTTTGCCCCTCCTTTTCCATCCCTCTACTTTCCATCATTGGTCATAAAATACTTTTTTTTCGTTTCACCGGGAAACTCACCTGGGAAATGCCAAGATAATCGCTCACATTCTCTGACAGGTAGATCATGTTTCCATCGCTGGAAAGCACCAACATGAATCCATTTAGAGCTTTGGAGAATAATTCGTCCATTTGATTCAACGTCTCGGACTTGGTCATCGGGCCTGGAACTGAAAATTACCACGAATGAGAATTTGCTCGGCTTTTAATTCGTAATCGTCATCGGGAGGAAATTGTTCAACACTCACCGCAGTCGACCACCGAGCGCACTTTAAGATAGGCGATGGCAAGTCTCATCACACTGGCCTTATCTAAATGAGCTGCTTGTTCCGGTGTTACGGGAAGAGCGGCAGCTAGATCCGTGAAAATGTCCGTCTCTTTGCTTCGACGGTATCTTGCCGCATCACGAGACTTCTCCTTCCTCTTCTCGTTGCTCCTGCAATGTAGAAAAAAAAAAAAAGAAAAAATCCTCCTAAAAGACAACTTTGCGCCAATTAACTCGACTACCGTTTTCTAACAACGATATCTTTAACAATATTCTTTTCCTCGAGCGGATGAATTTTTTTTCATCCTACATTGCGTAACGATTGAATAAGCTATGAAGCTATAAAAACAACGATCGCTAAGGTAAAAGTCGCGACCCTGAAAAGAATTATGGAAATATCTCGACGCTCGATCGTAAAATTGCATTCTGTTTCATCGACTATCCCGTTTAAAACGTGGTGACGGTTAAATAAACCGTCTGTACGAGACGAGATATAGAAATGGAATGACGTATAAATATCGGGCGAAAGGTGAGATTTACATCGAATACGTGTTGTCACGTCTCGACTATCTCGAATACGGTTGTTATCTCATCTACAAAAACGACCTTCGAACACCGCCACTTTTCTCCACTTCTTGGAAATATTTTTACCACAAACATTTAGCCTCTTTGCTACAACTCCCTTCGAAACGATCGAGCATTCTTATCGACTACGTTACCACCTCCTTCCAAGAATATTCTCGATAATCGCTAATATTATCCGTCTATTTTTTAACGAAACAGAAATTAAATTCTCCATCTCGAAGAATTATTTACCGGGAGGAAGAGGCGATACTCGTTTTCTCCAAGGCGATTCTTTCTCTTTTTCTTTTTTATCGACCGAACACTTACAAATAATCCTCGAGAATCTGGCCGTCCTCGTCGTTACACCCGTATCGGCAATACCCGTTTTGCAAATCCTCGTAGACGCACGGTGGCAGAACCGGGTTTTGCCCATAGGGGTAGGCAACGTCGTCGTCGGCGTACAGGGGGCAACGGTCGCTCGCCGGGCATTCGAGCCATCGTTCCTCCGTGCAAAAAGCGTACTGCTGTTGGGGACAGGTGTTGCAAAATTGGCCGAGCCAATCACATTCGGCACACAATTGAGCAAGCTTAATGTTGAACTGTTGCCTCGTCGATAACTCGGCCGTAGGATTGTTGTTGATCGATCTTGCCGGCCGACGAAAATTCGAGTTCGAGATCGATGGCCGATGATAGACCGGGCAACCGGTCTGCGACTTCTCGGGCTCGAAGTACAGGGCCAGATCCTCCACGTCGACCGGACCCAATTGGCAATTCTTCCCCGTATTCTGACCGCATTGCAACCGCTCGACGGACGTTGGTGGTTCCACGCATGGAAGGGTAGCGTGATAAGGTATCGCAACAAGGTTGGGAGATGCTTGATGGTAAGGGGGGGAGTAATGGTTAATCGGGAGGGGTTGTTGGATCGGCGCGGTTCGAGCGAATCGGCAGGAAGGGAGGGTGGAGGGCGATCGATGGTCGTAGAGAGTGGTGGAGTAGGGTTGTTTGGCCACCGTCCACTCGGTGCAACGACCGGATTCATTATCGGGCATCCTGACGATCGGGTGGTGCACGACACGTGGCGCGATCATCCGACCGGTTTCGGGATCGATCTCGTTCCTTCTCCACAATTTTTTTTACGCCGCCACGAAACGCCGGCGCCGCGCCACCACTCTCCTCCTCCTCCTCCTCTTCTTCTTCCCGTTACTCGCTCCCAACGAGCACGACGAAATAAAACTTTGGCCCGATTTTACTTCCCCCACTTCTCGACCACCTTCTTCTTTTTCCTTTCTTTCGCTCCTCCTCCCTCTCTTCGACCGCGCGCGTTCTTTTTTTATCGGTGGTGGTGTAAAGTGGTGGAGAGGCTCGATGTGTTCCTTTCTTTTCGATTCTTCCTTTTTCTATGCCGAGAGAGATCGGCCTCGAACGCTCCTCTCTTCTTCTTCTTCCCTCGAGTTTTCTTGCTTCGTTTTATCTCTTTGTTGAAACCGATCAGTGTTTCGTATCGTGCTCGAGGACTCGATCGGAAGAAGGCAGAAACGCGGTTACGATACGCGACAAATCGGATCGAAGAAGGAAGACGACCGCCGGGGATCGCCTCGAGACGGCATTCTGCCTATCCGCAGCTTGGAAATCGGCGGGATCGAATTTTCGCTGGCTCGACGGTTCACGCGATACTAGAACCGAGAACACAAAACCTTGTTGTCTTGGAACGATGGCTATCTTCCGGTGATAACGATACTACCTATCGCGATACACGATAGACCAGTCTCTCTCTGGATTTCGTTCCTCCGACGAATCACGGTTAATCTTCCAATTACGTTACGTCTCCCTTCTATCGGATATCCCCGCTATCGAAAAATCTGAAGTTTTCGCGTAAAAAATCTTTCCATCGTTATCGAACGAATCCCTCTCTATGTAATGAGATAATCGGTATATAACAATGCTGTATATAATAATTATATATATATATGGAAATATTCTCTTGTTCTTCAATTTCTCGCTTACTGACCGATATAAACGATACCGATAATCCAAGGTTATTCCTGAGATAAATATATATATGATAATATTCTCCACGATTTTGCAACATGCTAAATCAATCTATACCTCGTACCTGTAGATCTGTATATTTAGAGAAGGGGTATCAAGCGCCAATCACCGATACGCGACGGCGATCAGCCTTGATCGAGGAAACTATAATCGCGCGAGTAAATGCGGAAACGGCACTTGATTCTGAATAACTTCGCCCGATTTAATGGTTTTATATAGTGATCGTCGTTTCGAGAAATATTCAAGGTATTCGTGTGTAAATGTTTCGAAAAGGCGATTACTGTATAAAACCATTAAATCATCATCTTCGAAATCGAGATAAAGAATTGCATTTTTCGAATACCCAAAACGCAAGACACGTATAAAAACGTGTTGATAAAAGTTGAAAATTAATTTTTGGATGTACCGTCATTTCGATCGAAATAAATATCGTCGATTGTCGGTTAACGAACGATTGAAAACAAGCAACAAATAGCTTCTATCTTATCCAGAGATACTTGTCTGTATTTTTTGTCTGTGTCATTTTATGCAATAAAATGATTTATAAAAAAAAAAAAAAAAAAATAAAAGAAAAAGAAAAAATTTACTATAACACGAATAATATTCGAGGGAAAGTTT